AGAAACAAACACGAAGCTCAAAGTGCAACAACTGAGGCTCAGCTCTATATACTCGTGCCAACCAATCTTCTTAAGAGGTTTAGGGCAGCGTTTAGTACTTGGAACGCAGGGTCGCTGGAGAACTCTCACAATTTTATGCTGGAGAAAGACAAACACAACTAGAAGCAGAACTTCCTTAAAACTGCTGCATCCAGACCTATTTGTGGCAACTAGTTCCACTTTCAAGCCCTACACAATAGCTTTAGATCGGTTAACATTCACCGTGTTTTGAAGTCATTGTCCCCCAGGGGTCAACAACATACAAACCATTAAAGAAATCTCCAGACCCATGTTCATTTTAAACACCATGTTCGGCCTTCCCTTGCAAGCTGTAATATATTCCTTCTGACCACCACTGCCTCCATCTCTGCCCTTCCAGCCTTACGCCCTTCTCTGTACGCGTGTTAAAAAACACTACACGAGCCCTCTGTTACCAGGTCAGAAACTTCACAGGCCTGTCCTGCCCCGAGATCTGGGCTGGCCACTGAGCAGATTCCTATTTCCCCTCGCGTTCCGACGGATTCCCTTTATCAAGGAGTGTATCATAATCTGAACAATACATGGTGCTTGTAAGTTACAGGTATATATGCACTAATTACAGAGTTCCCAGTGCACGTGGCTATTTGAACATATGATCTTCAATCTGCCAGCGTTTTGAAGATGTTTAGAGCCACTCAAACCTGGGGAGTGGACTGCTGGGTGTCTAAGGTCCCAACACTGATTGAAGCTTTTTCTGCAGTAGTTGTGTTCTTCACCCATCTCAGACTGACGACCAAAAAAGCTATTCCTCTCCCTCACACATAGGCATGCTTCTCTCTTCAGCAGTTATCTATTTGTACAGAATCTGTAATAACACTATGGCTTTTTGAAGACTTATTTAGCTAACAGATCCCAAATATACAAAAGCAGGTAGATAATTAGCTGGAAGGAAGAAAAAGGGGAAGGGGAAAAAAAAAAGACAGGATTTCTGTTTTAATCTCCTTGGTAATCCTGGGTATTCTTGGATACACTTAAATAGATTTCATCTATTCAAATCCAAATATCCACAGAACTGGAACATCAAGACCCGGCAGCTTTACACAGGTGCTGTGCCACAATCATATACCAAACACAACACAGTAACTATAAACATTACTACAGTGTTTTCAGAGTGATTCCCCAAAAGACAAGATCAATTTCTATCAACAACAAAGACAATGTTTTATTGAACAAATCTATGTACAGTACAAAAAAGTTTTTAAAATGAAACACTACTGTTGATTTATTGCAGTTTGATGGCTCAGTTTTAATTTGTACTCTTATATAAAATGCAAAGTAAAATAATTTAACATTCAACAAGGAAGCACAAATTTTCTTTCTTGCTGAACCTGTAACAACTTTTACAAATTAACAGAGTCCCAAAATGCATACACTGCATTTAATCAGAAAGGTGTTATACAGTACCAAATAAATTAAGAAAATAGTAACACTACCACCTCCTTTGAGCATTTTGTCCATACCACTGGTGTTAAACAATAAAAAGAAATGAGTACAGCTGAACCCTCAATGTGATATTAAAATCACAAAGTTTAATGTTATAAATTACCCAAACTATACAATTTATATAGTTTTAATGAATATGGCTAATTAACCAAAGTACCAGTGACCCTTCCCCACAGATATGACCACTTTCAACCTACTTTCAGTACTTCTGTTTTTGTTAAAGGTGCCCAGCAAGCGGCAACTCTTGGAAAATCAGAACTTACATGACCTTTACAGTGAACTGTGATTGGGTTAGAGCAGACAGTCTTCAAAGGAAAACCTAAACTCAAGATACAGCCACCTAGAGGAACGTTATTAGAATACAATTATCAGCCATGAAATGCACAAACTTTGATCCAACAAAGCTCGTAAGTTCATGTATAACTTCAGGCAGCTTTAAGACATTCCCATGCTTACATTACACATGGACTTCAGTATTTATTGAATCAAAGTGATACATCGTGAACAAGTATTTCCAATTATATCACACAATGCTTAATGACTGGGAAAAAAACCTTTCAGTTCTAGATTTGGAATCCTTTTCAGCCCTAGAAGTCGCAGGCTTAGTACAGGGTAATACTCAGCATACTAAAGAATCCTTAAAAAGCATGTAGAATTAACCCTCACACGTTACATGTATCTTTTTGCTCCTAATTAAAGTTGCTTAATACTGCAACTACCTGAGAATACCAACAGGTATCAGAGAGTAGTTTAAAGAAAATGCAATATCTTTTCAAATAAAAATCGTTAAACCAAAAATGTTACCACCCACTCGGAAATTTAAGTCAAATTGGTACATTTCTCATAGGTGCTGGGTGATGCTAATATTCACCTACGTAAGAATTCAGTTTTCCATTTCTCCAAAGTGTATATGCTGAACACATGGTATAAACAAATGGTCGTGTCCAAGAAAAGAATCTTTGAACAAAAATAAGTTTAATGCAGGTACAAAAAATTATGGTCACAGTTTATGCATGTACATAGATGCATTTATCTACACACTTAAACCAAAGAAAATAGAAGTCTCGATGTTTTTAAAGCATCTTCAAACACATGAAGCTTCAGGAAAAGGCAAAAAAGCACCAAAGATTAAAGGTACATTTAAAAGACTTCACATAAACATTTTTTGTCATATTTATTGATAGATTTTTCTGATTTTTAAAACTGTAATACTTTAAAATTAACTTTTTTTTTTTTTCCAAATATATTTAAGCAAATTTAACTAGATTAACAATGTTAAGCAAAGAAAGGGGAGCCTGGAACATTCAAGATAACTGGGTCCTTAAAAATTAGTCAGTAACTTGAAAGCAAAAAACGTGAAAGTGCATTTGGCTGACAAGGTCCCCATTAATTTTAGGTTTAAAAACTTTTAATGTATTTATATATGTGTGTATATACATAGTGTGTATATATAATGAATGATGCATTTAAAACAGCTCTTTTGCAACTGCAAAAAAAATTCTTTGGTGCCTCAAATATCATACAAAGCTCTGAAAGTGGGCTAGTCATCACTATTAATGTAATGCACACATACCTGTGATCATAATTTTATAACCTCTTACATTAATCCAACTCAAAGTTAAGGCAAAATTTTTCTAGCATTCAAAGGAGTATGACTTTGAAGTTGTGTTGGTTTTACCTCCCATCAGGGAAAAAGTAAGCAGAATTAATGCAAATATCTGTTTAATTTCACAGAGGATTATTAGCAGAGGCATTACTGAACTATTAAGTTCCAGAACTACTTAACAGCCTCTTTTACAAGGAAACCCTTTGGTCTAAAAGCGTGAGTCACTGCTACAACGAACAGATTTTTTTTATGTACCTCTTGATTTTTTTACTCCTTAGTTTTTACATATCTGTTGATTTAAGCAAGTTGATCATCTTATTATGCCATACATGCATTGTGATGAACTATTCAGTAAGCAAACTAGCTGAGCAGGAACAGTTGGTCTTTGCCGTCCTACATTTCCGTGATGACTCCATCTGTACGCACCAGTTTTCACCACTACACCTTCCGTGCCCACAATCCCAAAATTTTCAGCTACCCGCTCAGAACAGGATCTGAAATAAAACATTTTCAGGTGGCAAGACATTGTAAGATAAACCAGAGGATAAATGAGCACAGTAATTAGACAATGTGCATGTTTGCCACACCTCTGTTTGGGGTGGGAAGACCAAAAACCACAACAGCATTGTTTTGGTTTCCAAATGTCCTGTATTTCAATGTTACATATAGAGCTGAATTACTCAAATTTCCTGTCTTCACATTCTAATTGTGTCTGTCAACAGTGAATTTTGGATAAAGTGCTTAACATTTAAGTCCAACTCCTTCACTAACTTCTGGGGAAGGTTATCTTTTCAAGAGACGCTGCTAGATAGGGTCGTAATGTGTCTTCAGATTGAGTCGATACTAAACATGGAGTTACAGTACTGAGTTGTGACCTACCACCATTAAGCAATATCCCATACGTGAAACAGGCTCTTCCTCATCTTCTTTTTCCAATTTGACATGTGCTCTGCTTTTGTGTGCCTTTTCTTCTTTTTAAAAAACCCCAACTTTTTCTTTTTTAAACGGGAAGTCATCTCAAGTTCTTTTCAGTCATACCAACAGCTGAAGGACCTCTGTATTTCCGTAAAATTAGTTTAACTCTGTCCTGTAATGCAAGCTTAACCCCTTTCACATTGTGTTTGTTTCAGTCTGCCTCTTACCCACACAATCTGTGCATGCTCTGCTCGTGTTAGTCTTCCCACACCTACAACAGATGTTTCACAGGACACTCCTAACATACGTTTACCATAGCCTTGAAAAGGGCTTCCCTTGCACACATCTGATGTCTGCTGGGCATGACTTTCACACCTCATATCAAATCCACTCACTTTTTCCTGCACGCTTTGTACTTCAAGTTTCTGGCTATTCAAGTATTCCATCCATCTTAGATTTCTTTCTACATTCCTCTTTTTGGATTCTGAGTATAAGTTTATTAAATGAGCTACATGCTTTTGAGCAGATAATGGAATCGCATACTCAGACTGTGAAAAAAGAATGCATGGTTCCTCTATGCATTTCTTATCCATGTTATAATAATGTAACACTTTCTTGAATGATTCCTTCCCAGCTGTATGGATCAATAGCCTTTAACCACACATTTTCCAACTAAAGCAGCTTTCAGAATTGGCTGTTTTTATTTCTGTAAGGCAATTAACACCTCTGCTTTCTCTGCCTGCTCAACTGTACGCCTTGTTTTCCTTAAAACTTCATGCTAGAAAGACTGTGCCGCTAAGCTTCAATCACACATTCAGAATGAATGTGGCTTTTTGGATAACTGGTACTTTGGGCATTTTTTTTTTTTTTTAGCAACCTTCCTGGACTCAAGACCTGAAGAGCTCCTACTATTCCTCTGTGAGTTTTGTCTAGAAAATGTGCTTTGTCTTTATCAAGGTCATGTTTTTCTTTAGTAATTTGAGACTGCTTTATGATTAAGGCCAACTGGGAAACGAACTGATGCTTCTTCATGTAGTGTTTTCTTACACCACTCCTCGTTTGATACATTTTCCTACAACATTGAATCAGGCACCTGTAAAAAAAATAGAATCAGCATTAAGACTAACCAATGTAAATAAATCTTTAATCTAGAACACTACTTACGTTTTTCAACATGTTTAGTTTCACACGTGCAAGGAATGACAGATTGAATTACCCCCCCCCTCTGTTTTACAAGAAGTCTTTTCTGTTAGAGTTGCCTACCAATTCTCACCACCTCTTTCTTATTCTACACAGCATGTCCAATTTGAACTTCCAACTTCAGCACGGTATTGTGATTTATTGTCTAAGTTCTAGCATACTACAATTGCTCAGAAGTTGCGTCTGTCTTATCTATTCCATCAGGTTGCCTGTTTTCAAAGACCGTTTTCTGGTTGGTATTTACCTCCAAACAAACCAACACAGAGGGACTGTAAGACTTACTTTCATCATCTGAATCGAATCCAAAGAGCGTCTGACACTTCTTTTGTGCAAGGTGAGCCTCAAGTGCTTCTGAATTACAGTAGATGGTCAAGCATTTGCCACATCTAAATCTTTCTGTTGATTTGCTACAAAATTGATCTTGTTCAGAATTAGCATCTACTTCATCAGTCAAAATTTTTCTACGTTTTGGCATGCTAATGTATCGTTCATCAAGATAACTTGGAGGCAATGGTCTAACATACGGTTTTGTTAAGATGACACCATATGAAGTGTTCTCTGTTGTCTGATTTGGTTTAGAAGGTAATTGCAAGGCAGGAGCATTGTTTTGCGATACATCATGACAATTCTGTAAAACTGGTAACACTGACCCATTTTCTGTCCTTGTTTCATCTGCCACTCTGTCCAAAGGTATTTCTGATGACTTTGATGTCTGATCTAGGTCACTGTGCCCATTGACTAGTTGGTCACTAACAACATTACAGTTTTCAGAATTTGGCTGTAACACAGGTGTCTTTTGGTCTATCACACTTAAAACTGTTACACTACTCTCAGATGAACTTTCATTTCCATTATGAATTAAGTTATTTGCTTTCTTCTCAACACTTTGAATATATGTCTTTGGTTCTGTAGAATCCCTCCTTGACTTCCAAGTTGGAATTGGTAAATCTACAGTTTCTTTTTCAGTAATAGATTCATCATCATCTTGGTAACTACAAAGTTCTGAAGGATCATCTGAAGAATCCTTTTCACTTGCATCTTCTGAACATTCTGGTGTTTTATTTAAATAATGCTGAGCCTCATGTTCATACAGCAAAGGGAGCTCCTCAAATAGCTCACAGCACTCTGCAAAATTGCATTGAGCTTTAAAAGCGCTATGACTTTTTGTATGTTCTGCAAGCTCAGTTGACAGCTTAAATCTCTGATTACAATTAAAGTGTAAACAAAAGTAAACGTTTGGATACACATGTCTCTTCAGGTGGTCTATAAAATGTTGGGAATCAGCAAATTTTCTCTGGCAGAATCGACATTTTCCTTTATTCCATTTCATTATATGCTGCTGCACCTTCAAATCAGTTGGATGAGCTTTTCTTGCGTGTTTATTGAGGAATCTTATCTTTTTAAACACTCTAGCACAACCATTAGCAGGACACTTAAAGGTTCCTTCCTCGTCCATACCATCAATGTCTTTTTGAGGGCAAAAAGCTCCATTCACTTTATGCAGAATAGGTGACTCTTTATTGGAGCTGTCGTCATCTTCTGGCAAACTTTCTGTACTTAAAGCATCAGGAACATTATTAAAACAGCTGTCACTACTATTTTCAGTAGCATCATCCTGGTCACTTAGATGGTTCTCCACCGCATCAAATACCTGTTCTGCACTCTCCTTCTCCACTTGGACCACTTGGTCAGCACTTGGAGCTATTGCAGTCTCTGGTTCATTATCTTTGGAACCATCAGAATTCCCGTTTTCAAGAGATGCAGAAACATCAGAACATTCTAGTTCATTAAGAGCAGGAGCCTGCTGACCAGCCTCAAGAACTGCAGCAAGATGTTGCCTTTCTATCTTCCTGACATGATTCCTTAAGTGCTTCAGCATAAGTCCTTTTTGCCTGAACTTTCTGGTGCAAAGTACACAGGAAAAACTGCCCTTTTTTTGATGAGCTTGTGCATGTTTCACGATGTGACCACCAAGAAATTCCTTGTTGCATATCACGCAGCGGTGCCTTGGTACAGTTTGATCCAACATTTCTGATGCCTCAAGAGCTTCATGGTTCTGTTTGGCATTACCTTTGGACTGGGCTTCAGAGAGGTCTTCACGGTCAAGCTCCCCATTGCTTACATCTGTTAAACAGACACGTTCCTCACTCACAGCCCTATACTCGGTTATCTTCTCTGTATTTGCAGTAGAGTTTTCCAGTGTACTTTCGCTTGAGCCAATGAAGGCTTTATCCCCCAATAATGCTAAACAATTCTGCTTGATCATCAAGAAATTCCAAAACTCAGGATCAAAAAACAAACCTTTTTTCAAAATTGGAAGCAATTCAAAACGTACACGGTTTTGAACAGAACTAGTGCACTCATTGTATTCTTCATCTGCACATTTGTATAAATGTTCAACAGTGTAGTAAGATTCCAAGGTGCGCTCAAGAAAAAAGACTGAAAGAGCACAAATTCTGAGGATCTCTAAGTCATTTGGCAGAAAATGAGCAATTGCTTTATAAATAAGACTTTTCATATTGGGATCTTCATGGAGGTCCAACTGTAGGGCACATCCACATATCTCGACACATATCTGAAGACCATCTTCACCAACCTGCAAAAAGGAAATTAAAGTGTACATAATTATAGAGTATGCATAATGGTATGTTCCTTACGGGCTGACAGAAGTCTGCAGCTTGAAAGTAAAATAAAAAAAACCCCAGACCTAGAAAAAAAAAAACAAACCACAACTAGCATAAACAAGGCCCAAACATCAACATCTCAGGTATTTATATTCATCTACTTGCAAAATATTTAGGAGTTCAGAAAGCATCCTGTTAGTAAGCTTCACCTAAAGGTATGTACATTTTAAAATAATGCTCAAACAAGACTATGAAAGACAGGTAGAAAAAATGCTCAAAAATAACATTTGGTTTGCACTGAAAGCTACAAAGCTACTGTCAACAAAGCTTTCTGAAGCTATTTTTGCCGTGTGCGTTTCTATAGTTCAAGACAATTAATTATTTGGGGACATAAAACAACACTGCAGCAAACCATATCTGATCTAACAATCTAACAGTATCTTGTGTCTGCATCTTTCTTACTTAGGCTGTTTCATACTATAATTGGAAAGTTACTCTATTTTGTCCCTGTTCTAACTCATTTAACTTGCATTGCATACAACTACAAGTTATAAAATATTGCCCTCAATATTGGACAATGACCACAAGGGAAACAATAACAACCATAACAAGCATTCCAAAAGGCCTGACTTTTCAGAAATGACAAATTATCCTCCCAATGAGCAGAATTCCTATTTCACACTTTAGGATGGGGGCCCTGCCATGAACATGCAATTCAGAGGGATGATAAGAACATACAGCCCAACATGTAGCAGATTAACGTAAAAAGAGTTTTAGGAAGTTTAGAAGTAATTAATACCTACCTATACTTAAATGGGTGTTAATAAATACATACAGTGCTCCATATGTAGTGGGTTATTAAAAAATAAGATCATTCAGATGCAAAACCAAATAAAAGTTTTTCTTGTCATCACAAGTATTTTAGAGCACATACTGAGATTAAAATCTTGCACAGCAGCAAATCATTGCATTTAGAACTGTACAGCAGCACCCATGACAAAATAATTTATAATTTATTTAGGGCATAGAATATGAAGGAGCTCTGTTCAGTCAAGTTAATTATAAAAACCAAAATTTGTTTGGAAACAATTCACACGCCTGTGTGTGAAGCGCTGCATATCACATCTTTTGCAGATGTTTGTATGGGACAGTGTAAGACTAACATCTGAAACACAGCGCACTTTTCTGAAGCAGAATTATCTCTTCTAACCTAGTCTAGCTCTTCCTTTATGTTACATGAAGCACTTCAGATCTGATTAGAACCAGTGAAAGGTTTCAGAATTCAACCAGGGTTAAAGGGAGATACAATGGTATTACACAAGTCCCATTTCCTTAAGGAGACAGGCTAAAAAAAATCCCAACAATCCGATGCATCTTTCGATTACTCCATGCATTTATAATTAATTTCTCTATTTAATTATAGAGAATGACATTCCTCAAACTCACTGCAGACAGAAAAAAAAACCCTCAGAACTATGCCAAAAAAAAAAATCTTAAAAACACACAACAGATCAAGGGCAATCAAATATTTAAGCACATTCTGGCACTTGACAAAATTTAAAAGTTAATAGTGTGTCCTTCCCTACCCTGTCTTTCAACGAAAAGTAACCACTACACAATATAAACATAATTTCTTTTTTACTATAACTAGTTACAAAAAGAATGGGGGTGGGATAAAACAAACAAACAAAACTTACTTCATCCTTAATGACTTTCATGAAAGGGAAAATTACTCTGACATTTGTAGCAATTCTTAAAAGCTGGTAGCAATGGTCGACAAATACTTGTTTTGATGGGTTAGATTTAAGCTGCAGTTTACTCCAAATGAAGATCAGGTCCCTGTAAGAACAGAACAATATATTTCACTTAGATCAAGGTTCAGAACTCTATCATTAAGCATGATGCATTACTAAGAACAACTATTTTCATATCCTGTAACTAAAATGATATTTGAGAGCGTAACACCAATCTAATTAACACCACAACTGTACACAATATGCACAATGGAAAATGCAACTTAATTACTTTGTTAAAGCATTCAAGGTATCTCCTATGACTGACCTAATTAAATATTTAACTAAATATTAATGTATTCAGTTTAGTATCAGAGAACTGCCTAAGACAATCAGACACTGCATCATCCAGCCCTTAACACTACAGGCAATAAATGTCAGGCTGAACAGCAAGCTCTGTGTTCTCCTGGGATTGTTACTTTCAGAAGTCCTTCAAGAAAAGAAGTGTTTGCACGTAGAAAACGGAAGCGTTGTAGAAAGCTAGCTTCTGATATGGTCCATTGTCAGGAAATATTGATGTTTTCCAGTTATGCATACTACAACACAACTTTTTTTTTTTTTACTGCTGTCGTTACTGGTCTTTCTAGCCAATAGCAGTTAAATGAAAGTATCAGGCTCTACAGCTATTCATACATCTCTATCATCTTCCATCAAATAATGTCTGACTGATAGAAAAAACACAAGAATATATTGCCAGACTCTGCAGCAGAGCTTCTACTCAGGTAATGTGTTTCATCTATAAAATGTAGCTAATTGAAATCTACAGCCTGTAAATTCTATGCACTTTAATTCGGAGACTCTGAGAGGTAACTGGACTTTAATTTGTCAGAAAATTTGCCATCACAAAGATTTTACACAGGAGTAGATATAGTTACAACTAGGCAGAAATTGCATCACAACATTACAGTGAAATTAGGAGACCAATCCACTTTCAATTTCTAAAGGAAGACACTTTTTTAATCCACCAGCCTCCTCCCTCAGCAAACACAAACCTAGTTATTAACTAAACATTTAGTTGATCTTCCAGAGCCTCCAGTCTGTGCCAGATACAAATCGGACAAACCTTTTGAGATTAAGCTTGTCTAGTGGTCAGTGTGTGCATGAAGGGAAGTGACAGAACTGCCTATGACAAAACACCAATTTCACTTTTAAATTTAGGATAGCTCTACAATTCTGCTTGACATCTTAAGAGCTAGTCAAGAGAGCTTGATTGTTCTCTTTCATTCAGAACTCAAGAAAACTGGAGTCAGAAGAAACATCAAGCTTACATGGGGGAAACTGTGAAAAGGGAGTTCTATAAGCAGCTCTACCCACAAAAAAATTAGTCTTAAAGGTTTTGTAAAGATACAAGCTGTTCACCTCTGTCTTTACCAAACTGGAAATCTACATTCTTGAAGTCTCTGCAAACTTCAGGTACAAGCGTGAAACTAGTCTATGTGCACCAAACCATTCATAAAAATTCAGTAAAAGTCTCAACCTGAAGTACGAAAGAAAGAACTGAACATTTTTGCTGTTATATGTTACAGCAGTTAAATAATACAACTTATTCACTGCTTTCATAGAATCATAGAATGGTTCGGG